TAAACAACTGTTTAGTTTAATTGAGTTAATAAAATATTATAATCGGGAACTCTCATGGAGTCTTGATTGGCGCGGGGCGCGCGGGAGGTGCCGCGCCGCATGCGTGAGCTGCTCAGAAAACTCGCGCGCGTTAAGACTAAAAATTCTGTATCTTCTAAAGTTTTTGAGAATCCCACTTTTTTATTTTTGTCATGGAATCGTGAAAAGCCCCTTTTTATGATTCTATAAAAAAAATTGGAAAAATCGACTGAGAACATTGTTAATTTATAAAGTTAAAAATTAACAATATAATTTGTTTAAACAAATTATACTTTTTATTCATAATTTATTTATTTATCAAAAGTACGTATCTTAATCTTTCTCCAAACCAATTTTTATTAAAATCGGTTCGGCCAATTTCAAGATACAGAATTTTTTCCAAAACGTTGCAGAAAAGTTTAATTGTTTATAACTTATGAAAAAATTCGAATTTTGAAAAATCGTTTCAGGGGTTTTTTAGTGACATCATGGACTACCAAAATATGTGGGTATCACTTTTTTCTATTACACAAAAAATATTAGGGGGCCACTTCAGGAATTCTTACCCAGATAACCTTCTACTATGTCAGTAGCAGAAATGCAAAGAATGAGATTAAAATCTTGAACCAAGTAGTTTGGGCTTTTCCCCCTTACTGGTCTACAGAGAAACGAAATGGCAAAAACGTGGCCAAAATAAAAATAGTACATTGCGCAACACGTGTGGCGGCATTTTGAAACTCGCGCTACATTTTCATAAGTCGTCTGCCATATTCAAAACAAATTAAAACATTATTAAAAACGAAAGTCAAAAAGACTTCTCGATGCATTAAAATAAATCCTTTTAAGAGAGCTGTCAAATTTACAAAAGAAAATGAGGTAAGGTAAACGACGTTGCGTTACAGATGCAGGAGACGGTAAAACTACTACGAAAGAGTTCTTCTATATTGATACGCTTCTACTGGACGAAATTGCAATTACTCGTGCGTAAATTGGGAATTTTTAAGGAAAATATAATCTTCACGGAAAGACTTTGTGCATCACTTTCTGTCAAACTTGCCAAGAGATTTTAGTAAAGTCGCGACCAAACTCGGAAAAAATGGAAAACTATCATTTTATATAAATGTTTTCAACAAAAAATGTTTTCTTTTTTATCAAAATTTAGTAGTCACGCTAAGAAATATTCGTTAACGTTGTAAGAAAAATTAAGATTAAGAAAAAATGAATATCAAAAGTATATTCTTTATATTTGTAAGAACGACATTTTCATTGCGTCGTGTTTACAATTTAGTAGTCTCACGATGAAAACAGCACGCATACAAACAAGCGAAGCTTGTCCGTGTAGCGTCAGCAGTTGAATAGTTCCGGCATAGATAGAAAAATGTCTACACAACGAACACTTTTAATAATCCTGTTTGCATAAAAAATTAATTCTGACATTTCCTAAAATTGACCTTATTAATAATATTAAATAATTTATTTTTTTGAAATTTTTTTATTGCACTTGAAATAAGTTTAAACATAATAAAAATTTTCTCGTAAGTGGAAATGAAATGGCGAGATTAATATATAAGAAAAATAAACTGCCCTCTTGATATCGTTGATATGAATTGTATTTGCGTTGCGTCGGTTAAAGCCAGCGTTTACCCTATCTGTATTTTAGACGATTTTAGGTTAAGATGTGATCTCTCGTTCATAGGTAAATTGGATTTCTACATTACTTATTATCAATTGTCGATATATATACGTATATATGGAGTTTCAGATGGCAACTTTAGTAGTCACGCTATTAAAAGCTATGTATATGTTTTTTTAGTGAAACTTCAGATTTTATTTTTTGATCGACTGACTATTAAATTTTAAAATTCTCAACAATCAATTATTGTACATCAGTAACTTTTTTCTGATTTTAATAGTCAGACTACGAATTATTAATATCTTTCCTTTTTTTCCGAGTTTGGTAAAAAGTTTACTAAAATCTCGTGGCGAGTTTAACACAAAGTGATGCACAAAGTCTTTCCGTGTTTAAAATGCATATGAGGTACTCTCTGAAAATTTTTAGAAATTTTGAACAAATACTTTTTGTGAATTTTTGTTATTATAGTATTATCACTTAACCCTTAACTGGCACCATGGGTCCAGTAGACCCGAGCATTTTTTCTAGCTCAAATTAATTGAATGTGTAGCTTTTGAATATTTTTGCTTCCTCTCCTCTCGAGGAAGCTTTGTATTCGTGACAATTTTCGATTTTTTAAAAATGGGTTATATGAGCTTATTTTTGTCTAGAATGCATATATTCGAAATTTTAAACAAATGTCCAGATGTGTGTGTATATATGTCACAAAATCTTGTGTACAAATTATCTCTAATACACTTCGATGGATAGTTCTGAAATTTTGTAGGCTTATTAGAGTAATCAATATCTAAAATCAGACACAAGGATTTCAAAAAATATCCACATAATTTTTTTTGTCATTTTTTCAAAAACTCTAAAATTTTAATTTAAAAAAAAAAATTTTTTTTCGTTAAAAAAGAAAATACATGCACTTTTATTGAAAGACTTGTTGTTAATACTGCGATCGGAATATCTTATTCCCTGGGCTCTGAAAGATTCTTGAAATATTTTAGACGACGCAGTACAGTAACCAAGCGCTAGACTTAAGGCGGAGACTTTGGAGTCTCGAGAACATGGGTTCGAGTACTAATAGACTAAATTTTTTTCTCACTAGCATAAAAAAATATTCTAAAACGAGTTCAAGAATTTTTGTAGTAAGTTTAGGGAGTTGTCTTGAAATTCTCTGCAATTCTTATAGAAATACTGCTTAAAATTTGTCAAAGAAATATTAATAAAATTTCGTAAATTATTCTCATATCCTCAGTTCCTGAACAAATTTAGGAATAATTCTTCAACAAAGTTTTTCCGTGTAATAATATATAAGTGTTTATCATGATGAGGAAGCTAAATGGTCATGAAATGAACAAATTTTTAACTTGTTTATCAGTTTGACATGTTCTTAGTAATTTTGTAAGTTTTTTGATACAACAAATTCGATACATACAAATGAACAAATTAGCTACAAACATTAATAATTATATATTTTGAATTTTAACCTAAACTACCTCAGAATAAATTTTCGTTCAAAAATATTCAATACCGACTGTACAATACAGGTTTTTAACATCGTTAAGGCTTCAACAGTCTCCGAAATTTTTTGGCAAAGAAAAACCTCTGATTATCGCCATATAAAAAAATCACTGAATGTAAAAATGATAAACCTTGATTTGTTAATATTTTTTCTCGAGACACGGACAATTTTTACAAAATCGTCCAACATAGCAAGGATCCTTGTCATGTAAATTTTCAAAATTCGAAAGATTGTGGGAATTCAAGCAGAAATGCAATTTTAAACCGGAAAATAGGAATGTAATATGACAGGTTCATTACGTCCAGTCGCCGTCAGATGGCAGGAGCATGCAGGGAGCTGTGAGGATCGCAGAATGATAATGTAGTGTTTTTCACTTGCGTAAAGAGAAAAAAAAAAACTTTTCCCTCGCACATAGGAGACAGAACTAGTTCCGTAAACAATTTCTTCCTTTGAACTCTTGTTGCTTAATATATTTTTAGAATTTACCAAAATCTCAAAGGACAAAGTTGAATCTGTCATTATTTTATTATTATTGTATCTAAGCTTCCAAAAATCTTAGGTTATGTTTAGTGATAGTTTCATTTCCAAAATCAAAAACATAACTTAAAGTTTTTTGGAGCTTAGGTACTTTTTGTCGTGGAGCTTCACATATTACTCCCCTATTTCCTGTTTTGCAATCGCATTTTTGAATAAATTCACACAATAGTTCGGATTTTGGAAATTTATAAGAAAAGGATCCTTGCTATGTTGACCGATTTTTGTAAAAAAAAAGGTCAATGTCAATTTTTATCATCTTTAGGTTCAATGCCGTTTCCATAGAGCGTTAATCAAAGGTTTCTCTTTGCCAAAAAATTTCAGAGACCGTTGAACACTCGTAAGCAAATTTAATTCCCATTCCATCAAGGAAATCTTGTGAGTTGAGATTGGAATCATCCAAATGTAAAATTTTCAATTATTTTACTTTCTAAAAATCTGGAAACTCAAGTTTAAACGAGTTTTTGATGCAAAGTATTCTAGAAAAGGTTAAAAAAAATTTGAACAAAGAAAAAACGAACAATAGAAGACTTTTACGTTGGTTGTTTAAACTAACTACTAAACATTGGAAATCAATGGAATAATGGTTGTTTTAGTGAGCCAACGTAAAAATAGTTTCTTTAGTAGAGCAAATATGGAGTGTTTTTCTTTGCATGGAGATATCGAATTTTCAAAATAAAGAAATTGTTACTGTTAAGTGTTAGAATAATTGTTATAATTGGAAGTGTGCAAATAACTAAATTTTTCGTGGTATTGAAATTTGATTTGATCTCACGTTAATTCTCATAAATTGAATGAAATTTTGGCAATTTCAGTTTTTACACCACCCATGGTCTATAGTTTCTAATAAAACTTGACCAGGGTGTCTAACAAGGATTGAAAAAAAAATTCCCTGACTTTTCCCTGACTTTTTAATAACCTTATTTCTGCTTTCTTTGGACAAAAATATGGTTATTGACATATTTAACAATAAATTAATTTCTAATGGTAGTAAAAAATGGTAATAAAAACCATTCAAGTTTTTTTAGATTAAAAAATTTTTAAATTCACGAAAAATTTTAATTTTTGTAGAAATTTACAAAAATTTCCCTGACTTTGAATGAAATTTTCTGAAATTCCCTGACTTTTCCCTGACTTTCCCTGACTGTTAGACACCCTGTTGACAATACTGGTTTTTTTGAGCATAAAATAAAATTATAAACTTTAAAATTGTAAATTATAAACTTTATGAAAATTTAAGAACGATCCAAGTCATTTAATTTTGACACATATGAATGGAGAGCATTAAAAAAATGTATAACTTACTGTTTCAATTAGCTTTCTGTAATCGAGTAGTGTGCTTTTATCCTTAATTTCTCCTGATGCAATCCAGCTTTTGATCTGATCGCGTAGCCTCTGAAGCTTTTTGATCTCCTTTTTAAGGTCAGCCTCGTATTTCTCTTTTTGATTACTGTTTGTAGCATTGTGAACTTTTTGCCAAATGTCTTCAAAAGTTTCTACTCCTTCTGTTACTTTTTTAAGGCACCTATCTATTTCACCTACAATTAAAATATATATTTTATCTGAATAAAATTAATAAAAAATTTCGGCACAGTAAACAATCCTAAAGGTAAACCTGTAATGCAAAATGCCAAGACTCGGGATGTTTAATATTTTTAAATGATGTTAATAGACCAAAAGATCGACGTTCTGAATAGTACTTTTACGAGTAGATTTCTTCAACAATCGAACGCCGTCTTTTAGTGTATAGGAATCAACACTTTTTTATTACAAATTTATGTTACAACCAGCTATCTGGAATTTTCTGGGAACAACAAGGAGAATGGAGTTTGGAAACGAAAGTGAAGTTCACTTTATTTAAAAACAAAACAAATAATTCATTAATATTAACTTGAACAGAATAATTACAGAGGCATGCAAAATTTCACTTACGTTTATTATCTATTGTTTCATCAAAAACTGTAGGAGAGGGAGAGGAAAAAATGTGAACAGTAAATTTTTGATGTTAACTTTTAAAAAATAAAATGAAAAAAAATTGACCTGCTGGTTATCAAAAGGTTTTCCATGCTCTTTCAAATGGTGAAACAATTTTTTTAAAATTCAAAATTTAACCCTTTTTTAAAATCAAAAATTTTTTTTGACTTTTTTTAAAATCGGTCTTTTTTTTATCTAATTTTTTTTTTTTAAATTTAAAATGTATACTTTCAGCACGAAAAATGTGAAAATGTCCTTTTTTTGGTTTACAAGATATTACTTAATTAATTAATTAATGTTAATAAGAAATGAACTATTTTACAAATAAATAAAGTTATCGCAATTCTGAAGCTACCGATCGAAAACTGACGTAATTCCGCATCCAACGAGCATAATATGAAAGATTTTTGGAAAGTTGATTTCTTATAAACAATTGATTGTAATAACAACTAATTACGTCAACTTCCATTTGGTAACGTCAGATTTGATATAACTTAATTTCTTTATAAAACTGACTTCATAAAAATATCACGGGGGTCCTGAACATATTTTAAATAAAGATAAATAACACCTCGGATTTTCTTGTTGGGTTCGATTATGTGAAACTTCTGAATCAGTTTTCTGCAAAATTGAAAATAATCCCCTTAGCTGTTTTTCAAATAAGTTGATTTCAGTATAAATAAACGTCATTTTTAGGAAATAGTATTTGAGTGATACTTTGATGCATTATTTATATTAAATACATACATATAATATATTTTTGTGTGTTCATATGTATGTACGTGTGTGCTTATATTTGCGGGTTTGTGTAATGACCAGGTTTTGAACTTTTCGTTCAAACTTATATAATTCCTCGCTTTATATTTTATTTTTCTTTGCAAAATAATTAGATATAAGAGTTGTAAAATATTAACATAAATATTATAAAAAATATTATAAAATATTATATAATTATATAATAATATAAATGTAAAAAAAAATTGTTTAGGGGGTAGATAGGGGTATACAATCCCTTAAAGTATATTATTTCATATAAAAGACTTTATCAGCAAACAAATTTATTTCTTTTGCAAAAATCATCTATATAAAAAGAGGGATACTTTCTTTTCATTTTGAAAATATTTTCAAGACTGGAATTTTATTTTCCGGGAGCAACTACCCCTAAAAATTATTATTCCGTTAAAATAATACTGTTTCACGATTTTAACTGCACTTTTATATGCAACTTAAGAACGTTTGGGTCCTGAAAAACCATCGCAATAGTCTTCATATTTTGTTCGTAGGGTGGATTGTGGTAAACAACCCCTAAAAACATATTAATTCTAATAAAATAATTTATCAGAAAAAATTTATTTCTTCTGCAAAAAACATCTACAAAATAAGAAGGATACTTTCTTTTCATTTAAAATTTTTCTTTAATTTTTAGGGGTAGTACTACCCCCTAAAAATAAAGTTTCAGATTTGAAAATATTTTCAAAATGAAAAGAAAGTATCCCTCTTATTTTGTAGATGAATTTTGCAGAAGAAATAATTTTTTTCTGATAAAGTATTTTATTTGAATTAATATGTTTTTAGGGGTTGTTTACCCCAATCCACCCCCTGGACAAATTTTTTTTATATTTGTTAATATTTTACAACTCTTATATCTAATTATTTTGCAAAGAAAAATAAAATATAAAGCGAGGAATTATATAATTTTGAACAAAAAGTTCATTTTTGGGTATGTTTACCCCTAAATTCATGGGGGTTGGTGGTGAAAATGCTACTGTTTAATTCCATTTTTGGTGTTAAATTATTAATGAGCAAAAAAAATTTTTTTTTATTGAATTTTTCTTTATATTGTGAAATTTCTATATTTCCGTAAAAACTTTAGGGGTGGTTTTCACCCTTTAAATGTTAACCATTGCCGATAAAAAAATATACGTGTTGATTAGTTTTTCGAGTACTATAACATATATCAAGATGAACGAAATCGGAGAGGGACACCTACCTAGTGTTCCTTGTAAGATGGTTGGAAAGCTAATAAAATTCTGCGTTAGAATGTATATCAAGAAATTTTTTTAATTTCTTTAGCATTTATTACACCTAGAATAATGTTTGGAAAAATTTAACAATTTTACAACGTAATCTTTAGGATCTTAGCTTTAAATAGCTTTTTTGAAACTTAAAAAGTGTTTTTTAGTTTCTAAAATATGTTAAAAAATGTTCGAGCATGTTTTTCTAAAACCGAGCAGCGAGGCGGCGAAAAGTGATGATCGACGGCAGGAGCCACAAAACATTTTTGAAGTTTCAATAATGCAAATTAAAGCTAAAACCTTAAAGATTAACATTAATACCATATTATCAATTGAATAATTTTTTCATGGAATATTTTCGGTGTCATAAATGCTAAAAAAAAAAGAAAAAAAATTTCTTGATATACATTCAGAAGCAGAATTTTATCAGCTTTCCAACCATTTAAGTTATTAGTCTCTAACTTTTTTCTAACTTGAAATGTCTTGCTTTAAAGTCAGTACAAAATTTCTACTCCTCGCACGTCAGCCGTACCGACAATTTCCGACGGTAGAGTATTTTATTATTATTTTAAGGTATAAACAAATTAAATAAACTTTTGTATACTTGTGCTGTTTCTAAACAAAATGAAGTGATAAACATAAGAAATGTATTAAAACAAGAGAATTATCAGTTTTATTAAATATTAAGTAACATTTATTAAAAATATGTAATTTGTATAAATTTTAATTAACATTTTATAAATAATAAAATTTTTAAATCTAAAATTTAATGAATTTTTAATATTTTGCACAATTCAATATTATTATGAATTTGAAAGTAGGTAAATATTGAAAGAATAATTTTACGATCATAGACTAATGCAGTGTAGAAACTGCAGTAAACAGGCTTATTAATGAGGAATGTGTTATTACAAAAAGTAAAGATTTTTTGACGCTTTGAAATATGTTAAAGTTGAATTAATTTTACGTAATTTTGTAAAGTTTAAATAATTTTCACCGTCTAGTTTTGAAAATATTTGCAATTAAATGAACGTTGTGTCTTATGGAGTTAACCTTTCCAAATCTATAAATTTAGTTTTTTTGAAAACTTTCAGTAATGATATAGTCCTAGAAATATTTTTTTTTGATAAATTAAAACTCCAAAGATTTTTAAAGTGAACTAATGGTTGGCTACACAAATGGTTTAAATAAATTAATTTCTGAAGCCATGTTTGTTTATCTGATGTCATCCGTGACAGTAAAACATAGACGAAAGACTGCTGATTATGCTACGCGATTCAAAAAAGATTATTTATAACATTGAATCAAATCCATCATTGCCAAATTTCTTCAAAATTTTTCTCGTTTTTTTAAATTTGGATAGAATCTATAATTCTTAATATCACAGCGTCGTTGAATGAGTCGAAAGTTCCAACAAATTGTCAACCAAATCTAACCATGGGATCTTGTTCTTGATGGTCTTAGATTTTATAATCAATTTGAATCAAAATCGTATCTGCTTAATTGCTCGAGAAAATTGAAAAAATGGGGAAAAAAATTTTAAAAATGAATTTTTTTTGTTTCAAAAATTTTCTCAAGATTTTTCCATTAGTTCTTTTTGTTTTTTTTTATAAAAAAATTGTTTAAGAAATATATTATTTGCATAATTTAAGAGAAAAAACCATTTATTTCAATTAGAAACAAAATATAAATAACATAATCTTGAAATCGTAAATTATTTTTTTTTCAATAAAAGATCTTTTTTCTAAATATGTCGTGACGAAAATTCAACGACAGCTTTTTTCAAATGCATTGAATATGCTGGATCATCAATTACATTAATTTTATATTTATTCCAATACAATAAAAATAATTTGTGAACAGACTCGCCTGCCTGCTCAGACCAAAAACCCAAACCTCGTCTTTCAAAGTTTCTAAGCATTGTTTAGTGTGCTTCAGGAGGACGTGCAGCTTCAAAGTTATAGATATCTCCGGTGTTGCCTTCAACTCTCTGTCCAATTCCGCAGTGCGTGAGTCCACATCTGTATCAATAAGCTTTTTCGAAAAGCAACATTTAACAACTTTATTGATTGCTTTAAGCACATTAACAAAAGGCAAAAGTCTAAGTTGGCCAACATTTTCATAAATATCTGGATCTAATAATTTGTCAGCTTCTTTCAAAAGCTTTCTACAGGCATTACCTGCAAATATGTATAATAATTATAGTTATTAATTTTTTTTGGAAACTAAATATTTCTAGGGAGAAAAATTTTATAATTACTTTCAAATAATTCACCTTGATATTTCTTTGTAATCAGTTTCAATTTCGAGGTCCACAAGATTGCTTTTTCTCTACCAAGAAGCGGAACCAAAACATCCCAAAAAACGTGATTAACAATTCCTTATAAAATGTGAAGTTCGGGCATTATGCATTTTTCAATCACAGTAATACGATCATCTTCCTCGAAAAGGGGAGAGTGAACTGTACTGTGGCACTCTTTTCCATTTTTTAAATTTTTCCCCATCAAACAAAATTGATTATAATCATTTTTTATATCTCCATATGTTTT